TGCATAGCTATCTCCACCTACGGCATACATATGTATCCATCTGTGGTGCTCTCCTCGACCTACTCATATTTGAATTATAATAAAATAAGAGAAACCCAGCAGGAAAGTAAACTATTTATGCGATGGTGCACAGCTGCAGAAGGGATGCTTAACTACTTCGCCTTGCTTCTAAAGAATAAAGACTACTGCAGACCTCGATATAGCATTTTGTCGACAGTTTAATAACAACTGAAGTCCATTGGGTATAGCTGGAAGGCCCCAACTTATGCGCTGCAGGATTGGATTGCAGATTTTTTCGAACTAGGTTGGCCCCGTTTGGTCAATGCTGATAAAAGTAATCCGAGATAAAACTCTGAGGCAAAAGAAGAGGCTATTTCTGGGACTGAACGATTCAGTTCCGGATGCAGGCGCACTTAGTACTAAGGCGGCGCATTTCGATACCATTTAATTGGCTCAATGTTGATTCCAATCGAGTTTAGTTTCTACAAACAGATGATAAATTAGTGATGAAGACACCGCGCCCTAAAGGGGAAATTCTGGCTAAGAAAGCAAATAGTCTTTTGTAAGACAAGTGAAAGACAGATGGCAAAATAGTTCGAAAGAACTTTGTTATTCTAGCACAAAATCACCCTAAGCCCTCTAAACCACCGTTCGTGATGAAAAGCTCATTTGCCAGAAAGCGCTTGTATATTATTTTGAGCCGCTCCAACAGTCGCAATATCCGAGTGTGCAAGGCACTGGCGTGCCATTCGAGAGATATGGGTTCGATTCCTTGGGAGCGGATTTTTTTATAATTTTTTTGTATTTTCTTGTTTTTCTTTTTGTAATTTAATTTTCTTTTAATTATTAGATTTCATGGTCCAAAAAATGAAAACAAAATATTTTTTGAATTTCATTTGGTCTTCATAAACTTATTTTTTTTTAAATTGTATATTCAAATTTTATTGTTTTAAACGGGAAAAAATTGGTTTTAACTTTCATTTAATTTTTCTTTCTTCTCTCAACATGGTTTTCTTTTAATTTTCTAATTTTATTGTTTTAAAAAGTAAAATGTTTTTATTTTTATTTTCTTTAAAGTTTTATAAACTTTTTTTGCTTATAGTTTTTTTCAATTTTTAGTTTACTTTTTGAATTTGATTGCATTTTTAGGAACATTATTTTAAATAATTTTTTTTTAAATTTAATTTTCTTTTTATTTTTAGTTTTTGATTTAAAAAGAAAAAATAATTTGAATCATTTATGTAATGTTTAGCAACTTATTTCCTTCTTTTAATTTTTAGATTTTTTTTATTGAAAAGAAAGTTTTTTGATTTAATTTATTTTTATTTTTTTAGATTGTAATGTTTTAAAAATGAAAAATATATTTTATAACTTATTTATTTTGTTATTTTCCCTTTTTTGTTTTCTTTACTTTTGATAGATTTTTTATTATAAATATATTTTTTATTGCTTTAAAAAGAAAAATATGTATGGATATTTTTAAATTTTATTTTATTTTCAAAACAGAATAACGCTAAGACCCCCTCGTTAGCAGATCTTTCATTAGTCTTTCGAAAGATGGTAAAGAGCATTCAAGATAGTTGCCCATCAAATTACTTCGCTAGCAAGATAATTGCATATACACTTAATGGAAAGAAAAAATATTATTTTTTATTTTTTTTTTATTTCATTTATGTAATTTTTATGAGCTTATTTACCTCTTTCGTTTAATTTTATTTTAATTTTCACATATTATTGTTTTAAAAGGAATCCTTTTTTAGTAATTTTTTCTTACTTTTTAAATTTAATTTAAAAAATTAAGAATAATTTTAAGTTTCTTTAATTTTAAATTTTTTGATTTATTTTAGCTGTTTTTATTTTTTTATATATGTATGTAGATATATTATTATTTTATTTTATTAAAAAACATTAACTACTAAAAGACAAATAGCATAACGCTAAAATCTCCTCGTTAGCAGATCTTTCGTTAGTCTTTCGAAAGATTGTAAAGAGCACTAAAGATAGTTGGCAGTAATAGCTTTTTTCATTTGTATTAAATCCTGTTCTTTTGCAAAAAAATTAAGCTACTAACGATGAAAATCGATGGATAAATTAACAATAATAGTAAAAAATAAATGAAAATATGGAATAATTGTTTTGTATGAAATATACGGTGTTTATATGAGGCGAATTTGCGGGCAACTTTAGAGGCAATTAGTTGAATCGAAATTTGGCTGCACGCCAACTTCGTTGGACGCGATTAGTTGAAAGGCCGTTTACACCTGTCCATTATTGCTTGCAACTAAAAGTTGCCTGTAAAATCGCCTCATGTAAACATCGGCATTGGCAGCAAATGAGTACGGCCATGTGCGGCATGGCGTATGAGTAACATTTTCCATGTTAAAATTTGATTTTTTTCCAAACGCGACAAACTTTAAACTTTAAATTAAACTATCTTGGAAAAATGACCTGATCTGAAAAAGTAGTGCACAGATCCGCGATCTACAACCCAAAATCAAGTTTATGTGTCTCGGCGTTTTTTTGTGTTATTTTAGCGTCCCTACAGGTGTGTAAACTTCAAAAAACTTCGTTCTGCCTATTCCGAATCTCATCTGTACATGCCATTCCTGTAGGGTAGGCCTCGTGTGTTTGGGATTACCAGTGGTTGCATGCACCTACTTACAGACATTACTAAAGTGCAAGGCAAAGTGCAGTTGTTGTTTTTGTTTGTGTAGCAGCGTGCAAAAAAATGCAAGCTCGCTATTGAAAAATATTTTGACCTTTAACACGCCAACTTTTTCAACTTAAAATTTTTAATTTTTTT